GGACGCTGCCAGATTGGAATCCATTACGAGCAATTCTGCACATGTTTCCACATTAGGTGATTGCCCTGCAGTCACTCGGGAAGTGCTAGAGCTCTGGAATCATTCGGTTTACATTCATTATTTCGCTTTTTTAAAACCTCCTCATAATAATTTAACATTTGCCATTTATTCCATGTATTATTTTATTAATAGTGTAAACTTTTAACATGTACCAGTCAAGAAATTCATCAAGAGATTTTAGGTAACATGCTACTTTAAAAGCTTGCAGGATTAACAGTAACAGGAGGGAGAAAGGATAGATGGAATGTAGAAGAAATGAACTTGGTGAGGAAAGAAGGATGGAACATAGGATTGAAGAAATGAACTTGGGGAGGAAAGAAAGATGGAACATGGGATTGAAGAAATGAACTTGGGGAGGGAAGAAAGATGGAACATGGAATTGAAGAAATGAACTTGGATAGGGAAGAAAGATGGAACATGGGATTGAAGATATGAACTTGGGGATGAAAGAAAGATGGAACATGGGATTGAAGAAATGAACTTGGTGAGGAAAGAAAGATGGAACATGGGATTGAAGAAATGAACTTGGTGAGGAAAGAAAGATGGAACATGGGATTGAAGAAATGAACTTGGTGAGGAAAGAAAGATGGAACATGGGATTGAAGATATGAACTTGGTGAGGAAAGAAAGGTGGAACATGGGACTGAAGATATGAACTTGGCGAGAAAAGAAAGATGGAACATGGGTTTGAAGATATGAACTTGGAGAGGAAAGAAAGGTGGTACATGGGATTGAAGATATGAACTTGGTGAGGAAAGAAAGATGGAACATGGGATTGAAGAAATGAACTTGGTGAGGAAAGAAAGATGGAACATGGGATTGAAGAAATGAACTTGGTGAGGAAAGAAAGGTGGAACAGGGGATTGAAGATATGAACTTGGTGAGGAAAGAAAGATGGAACATGGGTTTGAAGAAATGAACTTGGTGAGGAAAGAAAGGTGGAACATGGGACTGAAGATATGAACTTGGTGAGGAAAGAAAGGTGGAACAGGGGATTGAAGATATGAACTT